TAATTTTGAAACAGCAATCAATTGATGAAATTATTGAATTCAAACGATAAAATGTATTATCAACAATTATAAAATAACTAGAAATCTCCTTTAAGGGAGAAGTCACTGTTAATACAAATGGCTCCATATGATGGCATCCTACCAATTTAGCTCTTCTTCATGATATTGTTTTGTGTACTTCGGCACTACTCAGTGAATGGGTTATAAAACTATCCCTCATCTCTACTTTGGATGGTCTTCATTGCAGTTTTGCTTTTTTACCTTTAGAAATGGACACGCCAATCAAAACAGTAAAACGGCAAGATTTGAAATTTCCTCGTTTTCTAAAAGAAATAAATACAAGGTTTAAAAGGTACTTTTGAATTATAATTTAAAAAACAGCCTATTTTAATCATTAATGGATTATTTAAAATTTACTTTACTCAAATTTTTATTTTAAAATAGAAACTGTCTAAACAAAAACCTAGAAACATTAACTTTTTTTTATTATTACTATTATATGTTTAACCTTTAAAAACAAACTATTGAGAAAACTATTTGAGTACCTACAATGTGTTATTCATTTTTATTATTTTCAAGAATTAGATTACCAAAAATGATTATTAACAATTATGTTTTTATAACATACCTTCAGAGCCCAACTGTACATAGGTACTCCTTCAAAAGCTGATTGGTTGTAAGATCTTACGATTTTTTTCTGTGGCCAATCCGAAAATTTTATTTTTGCTCAGTGGTAAACTTTGATACAGTCGATCACTGAATCCAGGATAAGGAACATCAGACATCAAAGTCTTTTAAGATCTGAAAAAATTAATTATAAAAGACCGAAACATATTAAGAATATTTTCCAAACTCACAAGAGTATGACCGGCAAGTTTTCTTAAAGATGGAAATTCTGCCATATACTCGGCAATAGTTGGACCATCTTTTGGCATTAATTCCTTTAGTCGAGGATTAGCAGTAGTGATCCAGTTTTTTTGACAATATTCCTTGGATCGCTTGATTTTTGCAACCAATTCAAAATTTCTTCAATTAATGCTCCATTATTATCTGTTGTTTCGTCTAATGAGCGTAGTGATTCTGGTAGTAGAATGTTAGATTAATTTCAGGATGAAAATGTAAAACTGTATAGATGTAGATGTAGATGTAATGATTAATCCCGATTTACGGTAATCTCTTATTTTGTAGTAAAGACAATCGAGAAGTTTCCCTTTTGCTGCTCTTATGAGTAATGGGCTATAACTTATTAGAAATATATGGCATGAAATATGTAGCAGTATGTTCTTTATAAAAAATATTTGTTATTTGGTATGCCAAACCTTGTAACCTTGATGTTGGTATTTTGCAATGGACATCATATCTAAGTTCTTTATTGATAATAATTATCAATAATCATAATTATTATGATACATGGACGCTTTCGACCGATGCTATTCAATTGTCCACTTTTTCAGTAAATTGCCAGTAACCCTCTGCCAGCGTTTTCACTCTTGAGCAAATCTAATACCTCCTAAAAAAAAAAAAAATAATTTTTTTTTAGAAAAATTCTAAAAATAGAATTATTACTTATTTGAATTTATACATTTTTTAATGTACAAAAATATAATCCTAAATGGGAAATTTAATCGGAATTTCAAACTGATCTACATTTATGTAAATTAATATTTAAAATTTAAGGTTTAGGTAGTTATTAATTATGAGTTTAAAGTAAGTATTGAAGATTATTTAAACAAGATAATTATGGCACTGAAAATAATGAAGATCAAGATATTGGTATGCATAAAAAAAATGAAGAAAATTGTAATGACAGAGAGAACAATTAATATGAAAGTCATAAAAATGATATGAACGATAAGTATATATGGGTATATCTGAAGCGACTATTGACGCGTGGCACGAATGTGTGGCATAATTTCCGCTGTGTCTGGACTCTGGACGGTTGATTAAATATTTTACTTAAAATAATCCTCGGACTCAATTCATATACTATTAGTTTCGCTAGTATAATGCCACTAGTTTCGTGTCGTCTGGGTATACTTCCTTAAAAAGTGATCCATGGTAACGTTTCATAGCCTCGGACCGAACTTGGAGCCTTGTGGGCAGCCTCTAGTAAGTGTAACGGTCCTCTCAAACCCTCCAACTCTGTATGAAGCTGTTCTGCTGGACAAATAGCTCATCGTAATGGAAATTATGGTCGGACTACATCGCGCGCATGTCTTCGATTAACGTGGGCCAACGGACGTTATCGAAGGCACCGCTTATGTCCAAGAAGCTTCCAAGGACGTGCCGTCCATTTTGACTGGTCCATTCATTCCTTAACTTCGTCTTAGGCATATGAGGTAGATCTACCCGGTCTGAAACCATGTTGGTCAGAGCTGAGGCTGTTACCGATTTCACAGAGATAGAGGGCAATCTATTTGAAGGACAAATATAACATATTTTAAAAATGTATGAAAAAAAAATTTGAATCCGTCGATTAAAAATATAATTTTATTTCTTTCACTTAGTATAACTTCATCCATGATGCTTGGGGTACGTCGTAAACTAGAATGTATAATATAATGAAAACAATTTCCGGCCTAAATAATACCTATGTTATTATGTTATCTGACGAAAGTTATAAAAATTGTATGAACAATATCACTTAGTCTTCTATAAAGATATCGGTAGACGGTAATTATTATACTAGCGATGATAGAAATAAAATCTATAATTCCTAGTCTATAGTATATTATGTTACTATATTATCTGATGAAAGTCATAAAAATTATATGAACGATAAGTATATATAGGTATATCTGGAGCGACTTTTGACGCGTGGCACGAATGAGTGGCATAATTTCCGCTGTGTCTGGACTCTGGACGGTTGATTAAATATTTTACTTAAAATAATCCTCGGACTCAATTCATATACTATTAGTTTCCTAACTCCGGACTCAATTAGTATATATTATCTTGTTTGTACCCGGGACTCAATTAGAATATTATTTTTTTTCCCGTTCAAGCATAGGGACTCAATTAACATCTCGCTACTACTATGCCTATTATGGTTATAAATAATATAAAAAAATCTTTCATCTTGTGGCACTTTTCACTAGTCTTCAACAGTAAAAATCTTTTCTTCGCACGAACTTTTTCCTGACCACCGAGTCGTTTACTCGACATGACAATGACTAACTGAACATTAGGATGAGGTCAGATTTGAATAAGACTGCAGAGTGCAGACTTCAGTAACAGTGACATATCGTTATTAAATTTCAAATATAATAGTCGATTAGGTTATGTAAATACTGATTACTGATTATAATTAATTATGGGCATCTATTCCGTTTTCGTATCGCTGCGCTAGTTGAATGGTTTATGCGCTGTTGTCATTACTCATTTGTGGTTGTGCCTGTATCTGTAATCTAGTGTGTACATTGAATTCCTCCATTAATATAATACCCATCTATTTTTAGATATGTATTGATAAAATAGTATTATCATTTTTCATTTGAATAACATTGAACATTTATATTTTAATTTAATAATAAACTCAATATGTTTAAAATTATTCATTCTATATTTCTATGAAATTAATTCTTTCAAATAAAATTCTACCAGCTAACTAAATCCAAAATAAATTATCAGGTGCAGCGAAAGCAGCATTCACTGAACCTGTGAGCATGCCTATGCATGTGGATGTGGTGTCTCTTAAGAAACGTATTTGAACTATAACTTATTAAATTTATAATCACTAAATGTTGAGTGTGGATAGTTATGCGGGCACTTGTGTGATATACCTATTTATTTAATAAATATAAATGTATGGAATAATAATCATAAAAACTTTTTTGAGAATTTTAAAAATCAACGTCTTCAAACGGTTTATCCAAACTCTTTTTTTTAACAATACCAATAAATTGGTCAAAAGTATCAGATTCACTAATTAAATATTTAAAATAACATATTAATTAAAATTAAAAAATAGTAATCTACATCAAAATAATAATAAATATAAATATTTACATTGCTTTTTCAGTTCTATTTTAATTTACAGAAACAGTAATGAATTCTAAATTATTATCTTCCGGTTAGGGGATCCTTGTCTTTGTTTTTAAGAAGGACGACTATTCTCGCGTCCTTTCCATGGGTCCGGAAACGTAGCCGACCTTAGGCAATTGTTGACTAGGCGCAGCATGTGGTTGCAGAGTGCTGGCCATGCTGCCTAAATTATCCTCGCCGATAGGCCATCAGCCTCTGGGGCGCTGTTCCTCTGCTTCTTAACAACTAACGTTAGCTCTTCATTCGTAATCTGAGGGGAGGTGGGGCCCATCAAATGCACGGACTCTATTTTTGGGCCTTGTGCGGATGTTGGAATCAACTCGTCCAACATGTATCTGACTGTGTCGCCGGTGCTAGTCGTGAAGGTGCCATCTCGTTTACGCAGTACTGGCGGGATGAGTTGATACCTCTTGCCCTTTATCAGCCACTTTGTCAGTTTGCCCCACGCATTGCCAGTTATGATGGGATCCTCGGCAAATGTATGCCATATCAACTTCTTTGCTTTACGGACGTTGCTATTGTGAATATTTCTTGCTTTCCTGAACGACTCTCTTGACTCCGGTGTGTTTAGCTGGAGGGTCATTCTGTGTGCGTGTTTAAGTTCACGACGAGAGTTCGTTACGCCAGCATTCCACCATGGAGGACGGTTGGACTTGTTAGCAGAAGACTTCGGTAACAGACGTTCGCAAGCAGCTTTTAAGCTCAATGAGGTATGTTCTGCAGAACCGTTAATGGAGCCATCGCATTGTATAGATTCTAGCGCCTTGTTGACTATTTCAATGAAGCTCGGCTAGTCTATTTTGTGGTCTAAGTATCTGACTTCCAGAGAGTTCCGTAGTTCACAGACCTGGTCAGTGATGTTGAAGCACATAATCAGGTGGTCACTAGTTGTGGACCCTTTGATGACTCGCCAGCCTCTGATATTGTTCCTAATGCAGGGGGAAGCCAGTGTGACATCAACGTTTCTGCGACCCCTGGCACCTTAGGAAGGTGTACTCATTGCCATGTTTGTTGATGACGACCAGGCCCAGGTCATTGATCATGTTCTCAACTATTCTACCTTTTTCGTTCTGCCTGTGGTCATGCCATCTGGGTGAGAACGCATTGACGTCCATTCCTAAAACAGTCCTATCTAGGAGTGATGCGTGGATACGCGATATTTCACCAGTAAAGGATTCCGTTGGACGGCGGAATTGGAAGTAACTGAATACTAGGTCGATCGGAGTTTGGCCAGGGTACGCCACATCTACGACTGTATGCTCCGAGGTTAGCTGAGGTTTTGTTATAATATCCAAGTGGCTATTGAATACCACAATGGCAGCCCAGACACCGTTATGCTCATTGGTTTTCCTTTTAACTGTGCGGGTGGCTCTGTACTCGAGACCATGTAGCACACCCTTGAGTGTGTATGGCTCTTGTACTAGAGCGATGTCAACTTTTAAGCTGATACAATGGTGGAGCAGCTCATCGGAAACTGTTCTGGACCTCACCATGTTGAGCTGGACAATTTTCATCGACTTGATGTCCATAGTCCGTTTTCTGCTGCAGGGCCCTGACTACTGCAGCCCACTTCAGGCAATCTTTGGACATCGTGGAGTGCTGTCCTTTACAATGTAAAAAGTTGTTTGGCGAAACACGAAATAGTATGTTCGGCCAAGGACGACGAATTCATGTGCAGCAGTTGTATAATAGGTAAACAAAGTCGTAAATCATTTAGTAAAAGTAATACGGAGTATCACAATGTCGGTGATTTAATCCATGCAGACCTATGTGGACCAATGGAGGTAAGCTCTATAGGCGGTTCAAAATACTTTTTGTTATTCAAAGACGACTACTCGCATTATAGAACGGTATATTTTATTAAAAATAAATATGATGTTAAAAATATTTTTGAGACGTTCATAAAAAGTGTTGAAACAGAAACAGGTTCTAAGGTCAAAATATTACGAACGGATAATGGATTAGAATTCGTAAATAAAGAAATTACGGGTATTTTACAAAAACACGGGATTCGACATCAGTTAACAGTTCCCTACACACCACAGCAAAATGGAAAAGTGGAACGGGAAAATCGTACAATAGTAGAGTCAGCGAGGACAATGATTTGTGCGAAAAATTTGGATGTATCACTTTGGGCGGAGGCGGTAAACACGGCGGTTTACACGCTTAATCGAACGGGAACCAGTTCAGTTAAAAATAACTCACCATACGAGTTATATTACAAGGTAATGCCAGACATTAAACACTTACGAGTTTTTGGTACTGTCGTATATACACACATACCAAAGCAAAAACGTAAAAAGTGGGACCCTAAAAGTGAAAAAGGAATATTTGTTGGCTATTCGGATAACACGAAAGGTTATCGTGTGTATTATTCGAAAACAAATAGAATTTCAATGTCTAGAGATATTATATTCGAAAACGAAGGTAATAAATTGGAAAATATAATTGCAGACAAATTAGAATTCACAGATACTCAGACTCAAGTCGAGGACGATCCGGTCAAGGTCGAATTGACGACGGTCGACAACAGGAGTGGCATGGTGCTACGTGATCGGAATACATTAAAAGCGCCGATCAGGTATAATGTGTCGTCGTTCGTCGCCAATCTCGTTGAACCACTAAATCGTGATGAAGCGATAGCTGGCCCACAGAAAAACGAGTGGGAGCACGCTATGAGTGATGAAATTAAATCACTACACAGAAACAACACTTGGTCACTAGTTAATTTGCCCCAGGGCAAGGTTGCGTTACGTAATGCATGGGTGTTCAAAACCAAATATAAAAGTGACGGTAATATCGATAAGTTTAAGGCCAGATTGGTCATTAAAGGTTGTTCACAGAAATATGGTATAGATTACCATGAAACATTTTCGCCAGTGATCAGATACGAATCAATTAGGGCGATATTCGCAGTAGCAGCTGTGGAAAAATTAATACTACGACAATTCGACATCAAGACAGCATTTCTGTACGGAGAACTACAGGAAGAAATTTACAGGTGACAAACAACCAGTTTTATTTATAGATAATCAGAGTGCTATACGTTTAGTTAAGAATCCGGAGTTTCATAAGAGGACAAAACATATAGACGTACGGTACCACTTCATACGGGAGAAATACGAAGAGGGACAATTCCAACTACAGTACATTGGAACAGAGGACCAGATTGCGGATATTCTAACCAAGCCTTTGGTTAAGGAACGATTCGAGAAGTTGCGGTCAGCCATAGGAGTGACTACAATTAAAGAGATTATTAATTGAGGGAGGGTGTTGAAATATACAATTAATATGTAGTACATGTAGTCAGCCTTGACACGTGTGTACAATTTAGTAACTAGTTATGTACGAGCATAAGACTCACTCTCTTTACGGATGTAACATGACCTCGGTCGTGCATATATATAGGGCCTTTGATGTATGTAATATTCACTTGCACAGACGCTGTCATACCGAGTGTACGCGGTGTGTGTGTATAGTCACAGTTTAATTGTTCAGTTGTACGTTATTATATATTATACTTATACATAATCATATTGTCGTGTTATTACTTATTATATTAATGCTAACATCATTAGTCCGTCAAGCTTCACTTTCAACAGTCACCATTACCACTGCGAAGGCGGAGAGGTAGACAGTTAAGTGGAGCCCTTGTAATAAGTTTGTCATGAATGTTTGGTATAGCCATTGTCAAAGTGTGGGACCAGTGTGTGCCTTTTATTGGCGAAGCTGCTGTCGGCCAGGCTACTCGAACCGACCCCAACTACCCCTGTGGTTTCCGAAGCCACTGGGGAGGTAACAATATTTCTGTTCTGGACTTTCATATTGTGATTTGAGGTTTTCTCCTTGCATTTTAAACCTACTGCCAGGTGCTGGGTTCAAGAGCTGTACCTTCCGGCTCGACCGCGAGTTGCGATTTCCTACGATCCAGCCTGGTCAGGGTCTGTACGTATCGATTCCTGGCTCCTACAACCGGAGATGCCAACCTCCGGAATTCCGTGTGTTGAAGGCCTCTTAGCGCCGGACGTCATGTCCGGTCGGGCGGGGTCGCCACGACAAGGCGGGCCTTCTTCGACCCCGACTTTCAGTAGCAGTGTCGTGACTATGAATATCAGTATGCCCTTAAATATATAATAGTAGTTCGTTAGCTCGGTCAGTACACTCTTCGTCCTGTTTTTCACATCCACCAGTCTTGTTATAATGGAATTTCTAAGGAACCTTTTTGTTTGCAACCGATTTTAAGTATTAAAACACTTAACATAAAATAATATATATTTTTTTTTTTTTTTGTAAATAATTGGGAATTATTATGCAATTTTTGATCCTACTATTACCTTTGCCCATTCAACAAAAGTTTTTTTTGGTCCAATTATTTGGTTCAGCGTTGTTTGGTTCAGGGTTATTTTGCCACAACAACTGTGAATACTTACTGTATTTACCATCTATTTTTGATAGCTCAGTTAATATTCTTTTATTCGCTGATGATGATAAACTATTTTCAGTTATTAAATCACCAAATGATGCATTAAAGTTGCTGTCAAATTTAGATAAATTTGTTGAATGGAGTCGTGTAAATCATCTTCCATCATATATAAATAAGTGTAGCGTGATAACATTGTAACATCGCAGCATTGTTTGCCTTATTATTATAAATATAATGAACATACATTATTGTTCTATTGTTATGGTTATCGCTAATGCAGAAATGACCGCAGTATTATGTAACAATCGTCCCCCGGCCCCCACAACCCGCAGTGATCGGTGTCTGCACGTCGCAGCTCACGGCCGCCGGTGCTGTCAGCGCCTCCGTCGAGTCCGGTGGTACCGCACCGGCATAGCAAAAACTGTGAACATCCCCGATTATTGTATAAATTCCCGTTATGATACGACACTGGCCTGCCCCACTTCAACAAAAAGCTCCGTCGCCGGCTCGGCACCATCGCCGTCGTCGGGTCTCTACAGCGGATTTTTTTTTTTCTAACGGCCGTCCATCTGCCTGGTCGACTTTTTGGCTCTTCGACCACCGGAAGACATCTACCTACACAGAACCAAGCGACATCGTCAACACGTGAACTTAAATACGTCTCCACCTGCATTTTACCACGACCATCTTTGCCTGTTTGACGCCGTCAGTCAGCTGCTGTGTGTTTCCTACACTTCGTCAGTTTAACAGCCAAGGACATCCCACCATGATGGGCTAAGTGGATCCACGAGGGCCCGAGTGGTGGGCGAAGCGTATTCCAGTCCACTGCACTACCGTCTACCACATCGTCAACGTCATCAGCCGTAAAATGTTTCTTTATTCTTCCCCCCTGTCCACCCTTTACTCTGTAATTTTCCGGCTTGTACGACTCACGTGCATTTGTCCCGGTAACCCTGTGAGGACACACCATGAGTAATATGGTGTGTCGCCTCCCGTGGGCCGAGAAAAATGCACTGACAAATTACTATAATTCAAATAATTGCCATGTGCCAGAACTATTATTGTATTTTAATGCCAGAACTATTATTGTATTTTAATGCCAGAAGTATTATTGTATTTTAATGCCAGAACTATTATTGTATTTTAATGCCAACTATTATTATATTTTAATGCCAACTATTATTATATATCTTGATAGCAAAACTACGATTCTTATTATTTATTATTATATTTTTTCCCCTAAATAAATCTTCGGAATTCAGCTTGCCGTTACGTGTAACAAAGCCTATGAGCTCCACCAACTTGGCCCTCGGGTCATCACTCATCACGCGGTGCGGCTCATAGGTCACGACAAAAGTGTTCCCCTTTTGTCGTGGGTGGTTTTTGGTAGTCTCACAAACTACCAGATTCTCACAACATTTTCTCGAATAAATAATATAATCACCTATAATTATTTGATTGATAGTTTTATAGTTACAAGTGTTTCTTCCATCAGAGACTTAGGGATTATCTTTAATTTTAATATGGATTTTTCCATCCATATTAACACATTTATTAAAAAAGCTTTTAAGATGCTTGGTTTTATTAAGAGGACGCCACACGGGCAAAAATACCGTACAAAAAGATGCCAATTTTGTTCCAATAATACGGCTTACTGAATGGTTTTAGAGCAAAATACCTTTATTAAAAGTTGTAGAGAAGAGTTATATCGGGTGCGTGTCGAGACTCGATTTTTGATATTTTAATTTTTTATACCAATTATTCACATGTAAAAAAGTGAAAAAAAGTGAAAACGCAAAACGATTTTATCGATTTTGAGAACGAAATATCAAAAATCGAGTCTCGTCACGCACCCGATATAACTCTCCTCTACAACTTTTAATAAAGGTATTTTGCTCTAAAACCATTCAGTAAGCCGTATTATTTGAACAAAATTGGCATGTTTTACAGAAAAAAAATTTAATTGCGGCCGTCATGTGCTGCTGTCGTTTCTAGCGGTAGCGTTTGTCCCCTCCTAGCTCTGACATCCAGGCGCGCTCGCCGCCGACAGGTCAAAACCGGTCTGTTATCGGCGGTCCGCGCTTCGCCGGTCGTTGCATTATTTTC